CAGGATTTCTTAGTTGCAGGACAACTCATTGACTAATCATCTGATAGATACAATGCAATCTGTATTTGTCTTACAATAAAGAACAATCCATCTGGCCCCATCAAATTAATAACAAGCAAATGATGCTTTCTGATCTTTGACAACTGTACTAAGTGGACTTGAAAAAGAGCCCAACTCTCTTGATAGGTTCTAACATCTTTCATGTTTTATTTTTTAGTAGAAATTCTTTATGTTTTTAAACTCTAAAGAAATATCTGCTTTAACTCATAAAGAATAAGAATAAAAACTACAGAAAACACAAGCTTTTAAAGACACTGAATAACAGCAGTTCATCTGATCAAAGATGTAGAGAAAATAAGAAAACAAGAAAAAGTGGAAACTGTAATTCTGCAAGAAACATGGCAGAAGCAAATAAAACTAGCTAAGGAAATAAGATTACTAACCACTACTTTTGCTCTGGATATTGATTTTGTCTTAGAATCAATAACGTAGATCTCTTCAAAGTCTAGCACGAACTCTGGATCATGCAATCTCCTGTTTCTGTAGTGCTTTGTCAGGAAAACCTGCAATATTGAGACCAAGACTGCTCTCAAAGTATTATCAAACTAATAAGGAAATAAAGGAAAAGCATATACTATGAGGTGAGAACAAACAATCAGCCTCCAGAAATTTCTATCTGCCAAAGTGCCACAACTAAACATTTACTGAAACATCCGCCTCCATTACTGAACAAATTGCTTGCAAGAAGCACATTTCACTTCTTTCCAACAGAAAGTATTTACAGGAATTTCAATCCAAAGACTTCTTTAAGATCAAAAATAAACATTTCAAATTGAATGATTAAAGATGTGAAACTCAGAATCATGAAAAACTCCAACCATAGGCAAATCAAATGAATATAATGGAGATACTACTCTACCAAATCAAGGCCCCACAATATTGGACTTTTGAGGGAAATGAAGCAGCTTCAATTAAGCAGCCAATATCTCAGATTTGGAATTAGCTCGGATTGATTTGGCATTATAATAGGTCTTATGCAGATGATGCAAATGCAACTCACTAATTCTAGTTAGAATATAAAGTAGCTACATCTAATTCCATTTGTATTACCATCCACTTTTGAATTCATTTCCATCTACATGGAAGTATTAACGTTTATCCTAAGTCACTGCTTAACAATAAACTAGGAAAGAGCAACGTAAAGAATGCATATATGAGAAATTCACTTACCTGTCTCTCCTACAGTTAAACATAATCTAGCATCTTATAGGTGTATATTGTAGTATTTAATGGCAAATTTTCTTTCTACCAAATTATTCCAAAAACTTCTTTTGCTATTTGTTCTGTATCATATGCATTAATGACTCTTAAAGCAGATTTTTCCCCTTAAAACATCAATCTATTCTTTTGTCCTCAGTTTTCAAGCAATGCGTGAAACCTTCTATTCTTATTAAAGTAACCAGAGAGTCAGAATGCTATCTCCTTTGGTTTGGATTAGGATGACTATATCTGACAATAATGAGAAAAGACTTTAGAGGATCCCCTGTAAGAATAACAAAAATATTATTTGCCTGTGTAAAGAAAACATAAACAAATGCCGAAAACACAAGAGACAGCATAGGTTGAAGGGGATCCCAAATGATTCTTATAAGAACCGACAGTACGTGAACATGAATAGATCATTCACCTTCATGATCTCCCTATCAGATTTATACAATGGATCTCGAGGTGCATCAATGGGTGGCTCTGTGACATTGTAGCAACCATAGTCACTCTTTGCACAGCGAATATACTGTTTTTCAGTAATGAAAGTATCATTAGTTCAAAGTGATGGCAAGAGTTTATAAATCAGCTCTATGAAAAATGTAATGAAACCAACCTTTCAACCATTACCTTCTAACTTCAATTCCCATTACTTGCTTAGCTAATTTCTACACTTAGTTTTCATTTGATTTGGATCAGAACATGATTTTCTCTGTTTACCTCCATCCTACCTAAAATTTCTTAGGTTGAATTATTCACATAGGTAGAAAGAAACACACACGTTACGCCTTCAAGTTCCAGTTCTGTTTTTTGTTCTGCTTTTAAACTAAAGTCCAAGAATTGAGATTTAGGGATCGTTTGGCTTGCTAAAGAAAATATGCTCTAAACCACATAGTACTTAATATAGTTTTTTATATAAACAACTATATATTTTGGGTAAGAGTGTTTTAATGTAAAAAAAGAGAGATCAATTACAATATTTTAGAATTTATTATATGGTGATAAAATTGGAAATTGACTTCGAAAAGATCAATTTTTTTCCTCATAAGCAAGCACCAAATAAATCCAGTAACATTAGAGTACCTTTTGAGGCATTGGAGCAAGAACCTTCGGAATCGCATAAACATCTGTATCTGGCGGTGTAACATACATCTGTACTCGCAATTATGTGAAAACTTAGTATCATTATCTCAAATTTATAGCAAAATATTATCTGAATTTCACAGAAAAAGAGACTGGGAAATGCAGAAAACCCACATGGCAAAATCAGCAGGAATTTCGTTCAAGCTTTATTACAGAAAAAAAGTAAACCCACATTACATAAACAACAAATTCACTTTTAAACAACACAAATAAGAAAAGAACACCAACCTCCCTGAAATCATAGACATCATTATCCGGGTCCGGTGGCCTCCTTATAAAAAAATCGCAATCCAGTAAGCTAATCTTATGAAACTCATCCTCGTTTATACGATAATCCACAACCATCTCCGAGTCCCAACCTTGCGAGTGCACGAAGCTCTTGCTCTGCACCATAGCAATCTCCCCATCCCCAGCAGCTGCAGCAGAAGCAGCGGCTAATGGGTCGTACTCGACATCGTAATCCTTCTTGTTATCTACCTCTTCGACTTCCTGCTCGTCCGTATCGTAGCCGTCGGGTCCCCCAGAGTCGGCGTCTCCCTCGTCCGCTTTCACAATGAAGGGACGGTCATTGTGTTTGAAGGTTGTGTTGGTGAAAACAGAGTTGAACTTAAGAGAGGGAAAGAGGTTGGTGGTAATGGAGGGAGAGGGGCGTTTGTGGGTGAAGGGTGGCGGGGAAATAAAGAGAGTGGCGGTGGTAATGGACATAAAGAAAGGTGCTTGGAACGTCGGAAAGTGAGAGAAAAGGAGGGAAAAAACGATGAGACAGGAAGCCGTATAGGATCTCAGATATTTTGGTTTCGTGCCGTTCTGGTTTTGTAGAGGGACGAACCCGGCACATCATAAAAGATGGAAGAAGATTACGTTACCAGTAAATTAGTAAAACATTAAATACATACATCAAAGTAAAGATAAGAAAACGAGAAAAATACTTACTTTTCCAGCTTCAGTGAGGCATATACTGCTAGAGAGTTAAAAGTAGATACCAGAGCGAGTGTTGAGTAGATGACTGGAACAGCAACAAGCAATAACAAATATTGAAAGAATGAACTTTAGGGTTTGTTAATTAAGAATTTTTTAGCTTTACATAATTATAATTATATCAATAATAATAAATAATATTCATTATTGGTTTTTTTTTGGCAAACCTTAAAATACATCCTACCTTAACCTAGTACTTCCTAAATATATAAATATATATATATATATATATATACGCACCGCCCTCCTTTGAAGGATTATACTAAAATTATCTTTAAAAAAATAATAATTACTACCACAAAAAATAAAAACTTTGTATAAGTTTTCCATCTCTACATGCAAACTTCAAATTCGTCGGGGACAAAAATTTCAATGGAATTTTTATCATTATTTAACTCCCAATAAAAAAATATTTTCTTCTTCGTAAAATCTAAATATAAATGAATTATCTCGTTTAGATCTTAAATGATCTAATGTAAAATCACCGTTCATAGGATACCCTTCCTTTTGAAGATCATATCTATTTTCTTATTTTGTCCTTTTGTTGTTTTCGTCATCTATTTTGTATTTAATAATAAATAAATAAATCTGGTTATTTATTTGAGATGTAGCAAATGTAGTCAGTCAAATTAATAATATTTCTATAAAAATTTAAACGAAAAATTTAAAATTAATTAAAAATGTTTGAATTTTAACGTCTTATTCCTCATTGAAATTAGTTTTTCTCGAGTTATTTTTCTTTCTTACACACACGTAAACACACATTATCTTTCTCTCTCTACACGTTTTTCTTCAAATATTTGTTACATTGACAATCATCTTGTCGGTATTAATTATGAAGTACAGGAGTTCAAGGGTTTGAAACTTGACATTTCTTTTTATTTATTTATTTGTGATTTTATTTTATAAATTTGATAGAAGAGTATGAATTATCTCAAATCTTATTAAAAAATAATTAATTTATCGAAAAATTTTAAATTATATATTTTTTATATTAATTTAATATATTACAATTTTTTTTACGAGAGTGTTTCGCGTGAAATGAGAATAATATTTTTCCTCTTTTTTAATCATATGTGCAAAATAAGCCAATGAAATTCTAAATTTAATTAGTATGTTTATAGCTTTTGACTCTTGGTTAATTTCTTAGATAAGGCAAATATAAAATTCACATATTCAAAAATTATCCTTCTTAATTTAAAATTTTATATCGGTTGTATGTAGGATAAGTCATGTTTATAATTTAAGTAAAACACAATTGATTGTGATTTTATGGTTAGGATAAGTCATGTGTATTTTACCAAATTTAGTTCCATTACTGAAAACCCTAGCTAGACATGACCATCACAGACTTCAAGGCCAACTCGTGTCAATCAGATCATGAACACATTTCATTTTACGTATCAAAGACATCCTAGAGTTTCTTGTGTAATTCCCATTGTTTTTAAAGCCATACCGCACAAGCCACCAACATTTCTTAATCCAAACCCTAAAAAAACCTAAACTCCCTATCAATCTAATATCAGTCACAGAAGACAGATATTGAGAGAGAGAATCATAGGGACCAATGGTTAAGAAGGAGAAATGAAAAAAGCAGTTGGCTTAGTTGTGTCAATAAACCCATAAACCAACCCTCCCTTTCTGTGCCACTAAGAAAGTTGTTTATCTTCATACTCATAATAGAAATACCCTTCCTTCTCTTTCACTTCCCTTGGAGACTTTATTTGATATCTTCTCCGTACAAAACAAGAAGAGCTCAGAAGGAAAAAAACACAGTGGGTTTGGTGAAATGGGGAGAGGGAAGATTGAGATCAAGAGAATAGAGAATTTGAGCAACAGGCAGGTCACCTATTCAAAGAGAAGAAATGGGATTATTAAGAAGGCCAAGGAGATTACTGTTCTATGTGATGCTCGAGTTTCTCTCATTATTTTTGCTAGTTCTGGCAAGATGCATGAGTATTGTAGCCCTTCTACTTCGTACGCCCTCTTCTTCTTCTTCTTCTTCTTCTTCTTCTTCTTCTTCTTCTGATCATCACATCAAGTAACTAGTATAGTTTTGGGATGATTTATTTCTTCTTCTCTAACAAGTAAGAATTTTTTTTGGGCTTTTTTGAAGTTTGACAAATATGTTGGATGAGTATCACAAAGCTGGAAAACCAAGGCTGTGGGATGCTAAGCATGAAGTGAGTGTTGATTCTTCTTTTTGTCACCATTTTAGCTATTGCAATATATATATCTGTTGTTCTTTTCTATGTCTCCATGGATAATACACTGTTTCTTCACCAAAAATATGTTAATAAACATCAACTTTGAAATATATGAACAGATTCTACAAATAGGTGATGTCCCATCTCCTTCTTATCATCATCGCCATATATAATATTCCGATATTCTTTTATGTTTTTTTAAAAAACCTAAAGACTCTCTGAAAATATAGTGTCTATCAACAGATCTGGCAATTAAAAGGTTGCTTCTTTTTCTTTTTCCTAGCAAAACTTCAAGGATATATAAACATGGAACGTGGATATATAATTCCATCAACAGATTTCCAAAAGAGGCTCTTTTCTCTCTCTCATTCATTACCATTTTCCAGTGGTATATTAGGGTTTCTGGATTCAGAGACAAGTAATTTAACCATCAGATAGTTAATATAGGCCTAGATCTGCCCTCAGAATTAAACAGCCTCTAGCTCTCTTAATAAAGCTGTTTTCTTTTTTTTTTTTTCCCTTTTTTCCTAATTAAAGAATATTACTGTTGTTAATTTCTCTCTGATACCAGTTTTCTTTTCTTCTGTTTAATTTCCTCAGAATCTCAATAATGAAATTGAGAGAGTCAAGAAAGAGAATGACAACATGCAGATTGAGCTGAGGTCAACTTTTAGTTCATTATTCTGTCTATCTATGTATCCAGATCTTTCTACAAATTTGGATAATAGTAAATCGGAAATAATGCTGTGTAGGCACTTGAGGGGAGAGGATATAACATCTTTGAATCACAGAGATCTCATGGCCTTAGAGGAAACCCTTGAAACTGGTCTGGCTAGTGTTCGTAACAAACAGGCATGGATTTCAATTTGCAGCACACTTCTTCACACAATATATATACACACACATATATGGGTTGGTGTTGTGTGTGTGGGTATATATATATATATATATATTAAGGTAGAAAATTTAACAAAGGTTTTGACTGCTGTTTTACATTCTTTTTTGTTTGATAGATGGAGGTCCTCAAGATGATGAGAAGGAATGTAAGGATATTAGTTTCAAACAACTATGGCTATTAATTTGCTTAGTTCATTTCAACTAGTAATTATACATCATATACATGTGTTTATATATATACATATATTCGCTTGTTGGCCCATACTTGACTACCTTCTGAATAAAATTTAATTTTTTCTTCATTTATCGATTCTCAGGAAAAGATTTTGGAGGAGGAGAATAGGCGTCTCAGTTTTGCTCTGGTATTCTTGCCCTCTCCTTTACCCTTTCTTTTGTCTTAAAACATATGCATGCCTATGATATTCTACATATATATATGCATATATATATATATATATAACCATCCACTTATTTGTAGACATGCATATGCAGACACTGTATAGCAAGGTGTATTGTGAGAACCGGATTTCTTATAAAACCAAACGGGTTGAAACATGAGTCTTAACCAGTGTTTTGGATATAAAGTAATTTCTAATTATTACTTTTCTATTAAATATAAAAATAATAATTAAATAATGCTAATAAAATTATAAAATTACTTTAAAAACTAAGAAGCATCACATATATCTTAAATGCTCTTTTTGTTTTTAATGAAAAACTTATATATCATCGAACTAAAATGTTTACATGCTAAAATTCATTGTTAGCTAAATAAAAATAAAAAAATTAAGATAGTTAAATATCATGATCTTCTGAACTGACCAGTTTTAATGTACGTATTAGCATATTTGTACAAATTTTGGTGTTAACGTGTCTTGGGATTGTGTGAAAGAAGAGATAGATACGACTAAGCTTGCCCTATGATTTCCATGCACCGGAAAAGAGTATGTTATATGAAAGAACCTCATGTATGCTTCATAAAAACTCTATGTATGCTATTACGACCAATTAAACACGATATTGATTGGTACATGTAAATATTTGCAGCAACAACAGGAGATCGCGATAGAAAATAGCGCAAGAGAGATGGAAAACGGATATCAACAAAGAATGAGAGAGTATAACGCACACATGCCTTTCGCCTTTCGAGTGCAACCTATTCAACCAAATTTACAAGACAGGATTTAGAAGTGATGTTGTTGCTACTTAATTAAAATTCCTTTGCAAGTAATTGAAGACTTTTAGTTGCTTTTCATGGTTGCAATATCTGGGACTACTAGCTTCATAAGAGACATTTACTCAATTAATTAAGCCCAATTAAAACCTTAATCCAATTTGATTTCATGATTTAATTTTGTGATTTGTGTTAACTAATTATTTAAGCTAGTTTACAATAATAATATTTATAATTAATTGGATCTATGCCCTCTTGGATGTTTGTAATAACCATAACTTATAATATTTTCACACACAAAAAAAGAAAAAACTTCAATTACATATGCAATAGTTTCTCTCTTTTTATATAAACGGTTTATTTATACGTGTTACTAGAATTTTGTATTGAGAATTTTCATATTTATGATTCTGTTGATGACTAGAATTTTGCATTTAGTTTTTTTTCTTAAAATGAGAATAACACTAAAACGTCGAGAGATTAAAACTAAATTTTAGAAAAAACTCACCCCACAGTGAATTATTATACTCTCTCTTTGTATTTAATATATGTATATATATTCTTTTAAATTTTTAGTTTACAAATTTTAAATGTGCTCATAAATTTTCAACCTTCTTAAAAACCTATAAAAGATTAATCAAAAGTAATTACAAAAACATACTTCAATATTTTTTTTTTGTAGTGCAAGCTTATGATGATAAGTTAGAAAACAACTGTAATCGTATTAAATGACAACCTTGTTAGGATAGTGAGATAATAATTAGATAAATCTATCCACACTTCGGTAAGAAATTAAAAATCTTGACGGAAAATATTTCGTTTATCTCAATTTATTTAAGAAAATGAAAACGAGTAAGAATAATAAAGTGATAAATAAAGATACTAAATATAGTTTAACTATTAGATTATGAACTTTTATCCTCAATCAAGTTGAAACGAGGTGAATCTTTATTACACAAGTCTTTTTTTTTTACCACCTCTCTTTTTTTTTCGTCCAGAGATATATGCAACCTCTGGAAAGGGAGTAGACTTATGGTAAAAACAAAATGTATATTAAATACCGAGCAAGGCCAACCATTATATTTCTTTAAAAAATAAATATGTTTTGAAGAAAACTCATGAGTTATGGTCCCAACAGATCTATTTAACGTATATTTTAGAGAACGATTAAACATTATTAACAATATATATGTTCATATATAATTTCGTGATAAACTTCTAAATTTAACATAGTATTTTGAAATGTTTAGATATTGATCATTTACGACTTTAAATTAAAACATAATTTTTAATATAGATAATATTTATTATGTAGATATTTAATTAATCACAAAAAATAGTTTCATTTAACTTGAAAATTAAGTAAGTTTACTAAATAAAAAAGATTGGAGAATTGATTGTATCAAAATCAATCGAGCATCGTAATTCATTCGTAATAAAATATAAATTATGTTAAGATTTGCTAAAAAATATACGTATGGTAACAAAATAAGAAAGTACAAATATGAATAAGAAAAATAATCACCATCCTTAAAAATTAAATGTCATCGTATTTATTACTATTCACGGTGATTTAGTTCTTATTATTGCACTGTTATTGGATCAGACACGACAACTCTACCTTCCAGTTGCATTGATCATCCCTCAACCGAACGCTAAACTTCAAACTATATCAATTTGCACCATCAACCGAGCTTTAAATAGAATAGTTTAAATAATTATGAAGATTTACTTTATAAATTTTTTTTTTAACTCGCGATATACTATATTATTAATCTGAAAACTTGTATATTTTTTCAAAAAATGGCATCGGAATTTATTTTATCTCCTTTCCCTCTAGGGAAATTCTAACATGCTTTGGGGCAATTTTTTTTTTTTTTATGTATTTAAAATATTTAAGAGAAAAATTTTAAAAATATATATTTTTTAATTATAAAATATATAATTTTTCACGGGTATTTAAAAAAAAATTCATTTAAAAAAAAAAAACAAAAATCCATGCCATCTGTCCGACAAATGACGAATCAGTGGGCAGTAACTTTCCTTCCTTTTTCTTTTTAACACAAAACTGAAGCAGGTTAGGATTTAATCAGCCTGAATTTCATAAAAACTATATGTATCCTCTTCTATATATATATATATATATATGTATCTCTCTCTCTCTCTTCGGTCGTGGCCTTCTCCTTTTGCTTTCCTGGTCCAAAGTATTTGCCCTTTTTCTCAGAATACCAACAACCAAACTCTTTTTTTTTTTTTTTTCAATTTCTTTTTCCCTCGCCTCGCTATATATAATTTACCAACAGGAAATTGAGTGAGAAAAGAAAAGAACAGGAAAATAGGTTACAGCCTCTTTTACGAATAAAAAATAAACTTAAAATACGAAAGAATTCCTCGTTTTTTCAACGGCTTGCTGTGTTCATCGCTCTGCTTACGGGTATTCCTTTCTCCTCTATTCTTTTTCTTCTTGTAATCAATTTCTTTTGCCTTTTGTGTTTGATGATATTGCCATCGACCGATATCTTCGTATCTGCCTATCTGCATGTGTTGCGGCATCTGCATTTGCCCGCCAATTTTTGATAGAGATTAGGGTTTTTGTTTCTGCAGGCAATGCGATTCTAGGGTTTTTCTCACTGGGTTTAAACGCGTCCCGGAGTTTTATTGCAGGTACTTTTTTCTTTTTGAAAAAAATTTATATGATGTTCTTTTTTAATTGAGGAAAACGCTTAATAAAACAGAGACTAGGGTTTTCATTGGGACTGATGATTGGGTCGTGCATTGTCTGTATTTGGTTTGTAATTGATTTCTTCTTCTTCAGCTCTTGTTTTCAGTAATGGCCGCGATATAGATTGTTGAATAATTGAGAAAACAGGGATGGGTTCCTCTGACATTTGGCTTCAGTTGGTGAACCCGTGCAGGGAGGCTGCTACGGAGCAGCGTCCATGC